AGAATACCAAAGAGTTTTCTGCTAAGGAATTAGAGTCAACTAATCTTTAAAACCGGTCACGATTGAATTGAGCAAATATTTCTAAAAACTTAGGATTGAGGTTGTTACAAGGTTATTTCTACACCCTACTCTAGCATGCTTCTCATAACTGTCTAAAACCTTTATTTTACTGCTTTTGCCTTTTGGCCTTTAAAATTGTAAGAAACAAACCAAAACCCCTATGACTTTTTGTTCAATTGTATTATTTTAGAACTTGTGTTCATACGCAGTCCGCGAGATCGATATTCGGGGAATTTCCCCTTATTACTACATCGGTACAATTAGTACACTTGCTAATTTACCGGTCAAGGACCGATATGCCTTAGGTGCACGATGTGTGATATGTTGTGTGGTGAGTTGATCGGTAGGATCGATGCACTTTGTGTGCTTGTGTATGTATGCATATTATGATGAATGGATCCGTAGGATCGTGTGCACTGTGTGTACCGTGTGGTTATGCATAGCGTCTTGCATGGTATGTGGACGTGGTGAATCGTTTCTCGGTGGAGCGTATGCGATTCACTCACGTGCTCCAAATGGGGAGCGTGTGGACGTAAGGCCTGTGTGGCTCACATGCTCCAAATGGGGAGCGTGTGGACGTGAGGCCTGTGTGGCTCACGTGCTCCAGTGGGGAGCGTGGACGGGAATTTGGATCGTTGCTCGGAAGGAGTATATGCGACCACCTGTGTCCCAAGTGGGGGACGTTGATATGTGATTATATGAGCTCATGAGGAGCGTGGTAGGGATAGATCGTTGCTCAGAGGGAGTGTATGCAATCTATCCTGAGTTGAGTCGGTACCGCATATTGTCGAGTCGAGTGTAGGTGTTGCATTGCGGTTGTGTGTGTGTGATTGTTGTTAACGGGACAGTAGGTCCGGGTGTGAGATATATGAAATAATTAAGTTATTGTTTCTGCCTTTTATTTCATGTACGTTGATACCATTAATATTTGATCGTGATTCTCACCCCTTTGTTGTTGTTGTTGTGGTCTGTGCTTCTTCAGAAGTACAGACAATCCAGGTGTTTAGCTAGCTTGGATTATGGCGTCGTCGTAGGACTGCTCTGATACGTAACACCGGGGCTTTTGGGGAGTCTTATTTTTATTGATGATATGTGTGCCCCTGTGGCGTATCTGACTTTTGTGAGACATGTGATGATGTGTGATGATCATGTTATATATTTTAGGCAGTTGGCCGATTATTTATATATATTTATATATATATATTTATATATATAAATATATATATATATATATATATATATATATATATATATATATATATATATATATATATATATATATATATATATATATATATATATATATATATATATATATATATATATATATATATATATATATATATATATATATATATATATATATATATATATATATATATATATATATATATATATATATATATATATATATATATATATATATATATATATATATATATATATATATATATATATATATATATATATATATATATATATATATATATATATATATATATATATATATATATATATATATATATATATATATATATATATATATATATATATATATATATATATATATATATATATATATATATATATATATATATATATATATATATATATATATATATATATATATATATATATATATATATATATATATATATATATATATATATATATATATATATATATATATATATATATATATATATATATATATATATATATATATATATATATATATATATATATATATATATATATATATATATATATATATATATATGACGAGGATGGTGGATATGGATAACCTATATATGATGTTTTGTGATTTATGGCAGACTATGTATATATTTTTTTTTGCTGCAGTTTTATTGAGAAACTAATTTGGAAAAAAATGATTTATGGAAATTGTTGGAAATTGTGGCATCCCGTTTGGGAGAGAAGCTCTGATGTGTGCTTATTTAATTGTTTTATTTTATTTCGGGAAACGGGGTGTTACAAGATGCCACTTTGAGAACTTGTTTGTGCTTTCTCTTTGCATGATCAATGTGATGCTTTTGGTTGAGATTCTTCTTATGTTGCTTGCTGCCTAAGCCTATTCTCCCATCCTCATCTTGATTATGGTTTCATCTCTTGCTTATTTGCTTGCCTTTTGGGTTTGGTGGTTGATGTTTGAATGGTTATATGAGTTGTAACTTCTCCCATTTCATCTCACTTTTGTTTGAACTTGTTTGAGTTTTTTGCTTGTATTTCTATTTTGTTTTGCATCTCTTTGCTTACTTTCAAGAGGTTGAGATGTGCTTGTGGTGGTTGCTGCCCCACACTTTTTCCTCCCTCTTTTCTTTGTGTTGCATTTCATGTTTGCATCCCTTTCTTTCTTGTCATTTGTGATTGATTTATCTTATGTTTTCTTGGTCTTTTGCCATGATCCCTTAGGATTCCTAGTCTCTCCGTTTAGGATGGGAGTAGGAGAGACATTAAGTGTTCAATCCAAGCATGATAACATTAGGATAGTTTCTTCCCTTTTAACCTCAATCATAGGAGCACATTACATGATAACATTAGGGTTGAGTTAGTTTCCCCTTAGTTGTGTCTTCTCCCTTCTCATCTCAAAAATTCTTCAAAACATGTAATAAAGGATAATGAGTGTTGTACGCTACGAGCCTTAAGCATTTGGGAAATGATGATTGGGGGGCCTCCTCTCAATTGCCTAGAGTGTTTAGTGTATGCCCTTTGGGCGATATGCGACGCATTCGCTCCTAAGTCACAGTCTTTAGTACAACATGAATTACAAACACAATTCAATTCACTTCTTCTTCATAAAAGTCTCAAAAACAAACATCAAACTTTTTTATCCTTCGGGATTAATTGGAAAACCATTTTCAAAGAGAGTGTTGTTAACTATTAGTTCTACCGCAAACAGGTAACGCCTAAGTCTCCAATGGTCGAGGAGCAATACACCTAACTGCTAGAACTAAGGTTTAACCCTACTCGGTTAAAACACTTGAACCAATATGTGGTCGTGTTAGCCCGAACTACGTTTGCTCTAATTTCTCGTATCAGACGAGGATACGTAGGCACAAGACGACGATGTCTTGGCGAGCAACCTTTCCCATCTCCCCCGTAGTTTCCCGGACCACGTTGACTCTGACTTTCCCATTACACGAGGGAGTACATAGGCATAGAGCGGCAATGCTCTATCGAGTCTCTTTTCTTTTCTTTTGTTCCTGTGGCCTGTAACTTAGATAGATTAACACCCTTTTAGATAGATAACAAGCGTGGATCCCGTTGAGTACAATGGACGTGAGGGGTGCTCATACCTTCCCCTTACGTAACCGACTCCTGAACTCGAGATTTAGTTGCGATGACTTGTCTTTTCCCCTTTTCGTAGGGTTTCTCTGATCGTTTCCTTTCCCTTTCTTTGGGATAAATAACAAACGGTGGCGACTCTTCTGTCTTTGCCGACCCCTCTTCGCAGCGATGCGACACATGGTTGAAGGAAGACTTATAAGGATTGATTGATACTACATATACTAACAAGATGCATCTGCTTTTTGATAGCCTAACTAATAAGAAATTCATAGTTAAGTGTGCTTGACTTTGAGTAGTATTTGGATGGGTGAGCTTCTGGAAAGTTTCCTGAAAAGCGTGTGAGTGAGGACAAATCGTTCTAAAAAGACTTGTGTTGGTTTGTGGGATCATTCGGTAATACTGAAAGCAGTTTGAGGCATTACAAATGATATTAGAGCAGACATCACCCAATACAATGTGGTTAGGGACGAAGCAAGCGGAAGTCAGTGGGCATGTAACACCCAAGGGTGACAAGGGCGGGGAGTGGTTGCTGGTGCGCAAGGCATGCCAATGAGTGACTCTTGGAAGCTTATAGGAAAAGACTTAATTCATATCAGAATGAAAGGGATCCTAAGGTTGTCCATGTATGGGACTACATGGTTGAAGAAAGGCTTATAAGGATTGATTGGTACTACTTGTACCAACAAGATGCATCTTCTTTTCAATAGACTAACAAATAAGAACTTCATAGTTAAACGTGATTGACTTGGAGTATTATTTGGATGAGTGACCTTCTGGAAAGTTTCCCGAAAAACATATGAGCGAGGATAAAGCATCCTGAAAAGACAAGTGTTGGTTTGTGGGGTGAGTCAGTAATCCTGAAAGTAGTATAGGGAGTTATAGCTAGAATTCATGTCTACTCTCAATATTTAATTAAAACATGAGGTTTCACACATCTCATTTGGGTATGCTTATGATTCTTGTCTTATGTCAACATGTTTTCTCTAGACAATTGAAAAAAAATCAAATTTTGAATAAAGCAAAGAATTCATAATCATGTTATATTTCATAAATAGTTAGACATTAATCATGAATGAATCATTTAAATAGATTAAAACATTTTCCATGCCATATGTACTTTGACCTTTTCTTGTCAACCTACTATTGGTGGTTCCATGCATTTCTTACTGCTCAAATCATCATCTGAACTATATGTAGACAAACTTCCTCTAGCAGTATTTTTTTTATAAATTTTTTTGGTCTCATTATAAACACTAAGTTCACAATTGTCTTCTCTTTCTTAGTCTTCGGCTCAAAGTAAGAATGGAAGGAAGTTTTTATAAAGTTTCAACCCTTAAGGTTTTACATATTTGAAAGCTTCAACAAGATTTTATATTTATTTTAATTTATAAAATAATTTTTAAACACTAAAAGTTAAAACTCATCAAAACAAATCTTTAGTATTTTATGGACTTCAATTCTCCTCTTTACGTCCTTGTTAAAATCATATTCGGTTATTGGCGTGGAGAAAGGAAAACCTCTCCCGCCACGGAAATTCTATTCTGGCTCCCTCTCTCTGTTCGTAGTAGCCATACACACAGCTAGCTTCGACTCACCGCGAATTCATCTTGATTCCGATTTGGAACAAACCAATGGCTACAACTCTTCAATCTCCACGACTTCCTTTTCATCCCAAATTCACACCCCTAAATTCACACCCTTTCCCCACCTCTACCGTACATTACTCCCCCAAATCGAGCACCTTCAACGCTTCATTTCTCGTCACCCGCAACAAACCAGTACCTTCTCCCAAAGCTTCCAGTTCGCAGTACAGTCCCGCTGTTACAGAAAAGCTCGGTGACATTAGCATTTTCACGGCCGCCGGTGAGCCTGTCATGTTCAAAGATCTTTGGGACCAAGAACAGGTCAGCATGCTTATATTCATATACAAAAGCTTTGATTTTTACCCATTTCATAGGTTTTGGTACAAACTTTTTTACTTAATTAGTTGAGTTAATAGGTTGATGTTAATTTGTGGGTGCTGATTAGAGTTAATTCTTGCAGGGAATAGCTGTGGTGGCACTTTTGAGGCACTTTGGATGCCCATGCTGGTAATTAATTAAATGTTTTTCAACTTTGGATTTTTGTTATCATTAATCAGAATTTGTTTGAGTGATGATTCTTCTTACACTGGATTGTGTTCTTTTGTTCTTAGCTGGGAACTGGCTTCAACCTTGAAAGAATCCAAATCAAGGTTTGATTCAGCTGGTGTCAAGCTAATTGCAGTGGGTGTTGGTGCCCCCGATAAAGCCCGTATCCTTGCCGAACGAGTAATGTTCTTCATCCTTCTTTGTCATTTCAGTACTTTCTTAGCTAATTATGATGCTTTAAAATAACGAAGTTGTATACCATGTGCGTCTTCCACGAAATCCAAAGTAAATTGTACTTCCCATCTATGGCTTCAGCCTCAGTTATTATGGTTTCAAGATTGAGTATATAAATGAAAATCAAGCATATTTTGATCACTTATAATTGAAACATATGTGATTCTACAATGCACATATCGTTAGTATCAGCATCATATAATTTTTATTTGTATAATTTATACGAATACAAACATAAAAAATTCCATTGTGGCATCCTGACTTTTTATCATTGAAAATCCAATCCAGGTTAACTTTCCATAATCCGAGGACTGAATTTGTTAGGGAAGAGATAGACTATAGAGACATAAAAGAAAGCATCAAATTTAGTTAAACTTAGTACTATTTGGCACATATCGAACAAACATGTGCACTGCTATTGAAATGTTACGCACAGAAAACAGAATCACAGACACGGCTTCAACAAGTTTCCGAAAGCTTGGTTCTCTCCCTTCCCAGCAACCGTTCAATAAGTTCCCTAGATAATCAACTATACCATGCCCTCTTTCTATTTATTGTTACTAACAGGCAACATAGCTGATATACAAGTAATTAATAAAACATAACTGATAGAAATATAAAACGTATCTGCCAAACAATGATTCGTCTCAGTCTCACTCAGGTTCACCTTGCTATATCCAGCAGCCGGTAGCCATCAAAACCTGAAGTGTTAAAGAAAACCAAGAAATAAATAAACAAATTAATAGATCCATCACGAGATAAAATTTGAGTATAACCCAAAAATAAAAGAAGTGGAGAGTTTAGGACTTTACTATTACCAGCGTAGTTCGCGATAGGTCTGCAAAGTGTGCAATCCAGCGTGGCCTTGTGGGTTCAGGAAGCGGGGATAAAGGTCCGAAAGAGAAATACTGTGCATGTGCAACCCTGTGTTCGGAAGACTGCTTGAAGGATGAATTGCAGGTGAGATTACCGTGTCATTGATGAACAGATCCTCATCATAGAAGAAATAAGTCTGTGGTTGGTGTTTCTGGATTTGGGTTTCAGCGTGGTGCTTTTCAGCACGATAGAAGACACTTGAATGGGTTCAAAAACATTTCAATTTTGAAATGCCGGCCAAATGAAAAATCTGCATAGATCCATATGGTTTGGTGAAGTTTTTTGAGGAAGCAAGCAGTTGCCTTTGTTGTGGAGATGGTCGTATTGTAGCTTCTGTGAATTTAAGAGATACAGGGTAAGTTTCACCAATTTTAAAACAAGAGATTGAAAAGAGATAAGGTTGAAGAGGTTTTTGTAGGTTTGTCTCATTTGCTGTTCTTGTGAGATTCTATTCTTTGTAGACTCACACAACCTCTCTTTTTTTACTCCTCCTCATCTCAAACAACCTTTCTTTTGCTTTACCCCACTTAATGTCACTCACCATTTGCTGTATTATCCCTTATTTGGTTAATTTGCTTAAGAGTTATAAATGACGTGGAGTTTTGGTGAATCAACATATGTTTGTTTTTGTCAGTTGTGATGTTTAATTGTAGATTATAGTAGTAGTGATGATAGTGATAGAGAAGAGATAAAGATATGCATACCATGTACAACTGACCCTAGTTTGGTGAAAGGTAGGAAACCATGGCCACTAGTTTTGTATTAAGGTTTTTTGATCAATTGTTATACTTGTGAAAATTACAGAGTTACCAGTCCGAAGTATATTTTGGCTCAATGGTCTGTCTGTAATTTAACTTTAAATCCACTTTATTGAAAGGTCACTAGTTGGTTTGTAAATTAGCTAGGGGTAGCAATACCAATATGGGCTCATTTTAATTTATCTAAGTCAGCCTGAGATATGGATCTCTATACTTTTAAGTATCTGAAATTTGAAGACTCTTGTAATTTATTTATTTATATAATATTGGTATGAACATGTACTTGATATCAAGACTCAAAACTAATATTTTCTTTTTCAATTGATATTGTATGTTCAGTTACCATTTCCAATGGATTGCCTTTATGCAGATCCTGACCGCAAGGTAACGCACGGATAGCATGTTGAATATTCACTCCCTGGAACTCACCTTGTAAGTGTATATTTTAACCAATTTCTCTGTCTTTCAGGCATATGATTTTCTAGACCTCTACTATGGGTTTGGCCGTACTTTCTTCAATCCAGCCAGTGTAATAATCTTTACCTTGGACTTCTCTGAAATACATGTATATATGTTTTTGTTAGACATTTGCCATTTTGCATGCTGATAAACATGTTTTGGCTACAAAATTGTTATTTACAGGCAAAAGTGCTATCAAGATTTGATGCTTTGCAAAAAGCGACCAAAAACTACACAATAGAAGCCATTCCAGATGATAGAAGTGGGGTTTTGCAACAGGTTTGATACTATAGTCTGGTGGCAAAAGAGTGAAATCAAACTTAATATTTTACTTTACAACTGAGGTTTTCTAAATTGATCAATTTGTACTGTCAGGGAGGGATGTTTGTGTTTAGAGGGAAAGAGCTATTATATGCAAGGAAAGACGAAGGAACAGGTGATCACGCACCTTTAGATGATGTTTTTGATGTTTGCTGCAAAGTTCCTGTTGCTTAACTGTACTGCATGAAATTGTAAATTTGTAAAACATTAGGAATGTTCAGCTCAAGAAGAGTGCTGTTATTAGAATAGGATTCACTGTGAATCATACAAGAGGCAACATACAAAAATCATATTTATATAATTCAATCTATAAACCTTATGTAATTTATTACATACAGTAGTTCATTGTGAACTTGAATACATTGTTACCAAAACTTGAGTTAGAAATGACAACTGTCACATATGTAAGCTGTTCTTGTTTTAATCATTTGAATGACTACAATGAAAGTTGTAAATTGTTGTACTTACCTAAAACTGAAAATTTGAAAATAACATTAATGATAATATAACTTTAAGTCGTAATTACAAGAATAAAACTTTCTTTTCTGTTGAGGCATACAGGGCCTTGTTATGGTGGTGTACTTGTGTTGGCCTTATATTATTTGGGCCCAACTTTATCCACAACACTTTTTTTTTTTGTTAGACTACATAATTTCAAGTATACTTTCACGTTGAAAAAAAAGTGTGTTTTAGTTAGGAAGTATATTAGGAAAGTTGATATATGTAGGCAATCTCATTTAATAAGACAATGCTTGATTGTTGTTTTTTTAGTTTGGAGATATATTTGAGGATTTCTTAATGCATCCTATATATTATTAGGGCAGTACGTGAAAATACAAAAATGTTTTTAGTTTTTGGAGATTTATTTTCGGACGTACCCTGAATAAATAGAAATATGACTTAACGTTAAACTACTACTACTGAGATGCATCTTCAAACTTATTTCGGAGATGCATCTCCGGAAAGTATTAGAGTTTAAATTGCCCCAGAACCCTTATCTTTCTTCGTTTAAAAAAAATCAACTTTCTCAAATTCTTTCAATTTTTTTTTCCAACAACCAAGTCACAAATCAAACAACGAAGTTCAAATGTTCTTCAATCAACATCAAGTAAAGTCTAAATTTGTAAGTTTTTGATGTTTTGATAAGTTTTTTGAGTTTTTATGTAAATGAGTAGAAAATGATGATTTAGGTGAGAAATGAGTAGAAAATATATTCATGGTAGTTTATACATACTGTAAAACATGTATGATGGTAGAAAACAATGAAGAAACCATTATTTTGGGGGTTTATATGTCTGCATTGACGCCATTGAAGGACCTGAAGAGTTACAGAAAATTTTGGAAATGTATCTCTGAAATTTTTCAACGTTTGAATTCTCTTTACCCGAAGATGCATCTCTGTAATTTATTAGTTTGTTTAACTTTTTTTGTTGCTTTTATTGATTGTATGGTTGTTTGTATCAATTGTCTGGTTTACTTACATGCATTATGGCTGATAGAGAAGACAGACTGAGGCACACGGGGATTCTACAACATGCATCAGTAAGGAGGGAGAAAAACCAAGTTTTAGATGCTCTTGTTCACTCTAGCCATGCAGAGACATCTATTTCTAGGGATCACTGCCTCTATCCTCCCGTATGCGACAAGTTTCACCTATTTCAGCGCCAGAGGTACCCGAGTCATCGGTGGTACTTGAGACACCAGTTCCATCTTTGACTAATGAGGTTGTTGAGCCAATGCCACCTCTGACTATTGAGGTTGATGAGCCAGTTCCACCTCTGACTGATGAGACTACTGAGCCAGTACCACCTCCCGCTGATGAGGCTTTTGGAAGAGGCCTTGTAGAGTTATCATTGATGCATTTGTACCCAGACCATACTGCCAGATATATTTGGGACGGAGAGTTAACATTAATTGGATTCATTCTTTTTTAAATTATGTTTATTATTATATTACAAGTTACTGACATTGATTTATTTTTCTGCAGGACTGTTATCCGCTGAAGTTTATCATCCACGGGCGGAAGATTACTGACTTGCCTTAACCGAATGAGGAGTGGTTTCAGGCTACTTTGTCCTTATATGGGATGAAGGATTTGTCATGACCATTTATATTACAGTCAACCACGGAATGCTTAATGCATTCGTTGAGAGATGACACACTGAAACCTTGTCATTTCATCTCTCACTTGGTGAGATATTTATCACACTCGACGATGTATCATGTTTGTTGCTTCTTCTGATCATGGGGAAATTTCTAGATCATGGGAGAATTAGCAGAGACAAGACACTCGAGATGATGGTAGACTATCTGGGAGTTAACATAGAGGATGCCACGCAAGAGTTTGAAAAAAAAAACCAAAGGGGATCATGCTAGGTTTGCATTCCTTAAAAAGGTATATACAAGTGATATCCTTAGAGCACATGAGGCTAAAGGCAATGACGAGCAAGTGGAGCTCCATAGAGCGTGCTATGAGGGCATACCAATTATATTTAGTTAGCACTGCGATTTTTGTGTACAAGAATGCCATTGATACATATGTCGTCTATCTGCGGTACTTCAGGATTTCGAGCGAATCCATGAATACAACTGGGGGTTGCTTGTTTGGTCTACTTGTACTTGAAGTTATTAGAGGGCTATAGATGGAAGATGAAGAAGGTCACAGGCAACATCACATTGCTGACGTTAATATTCATTGATCTTTTAATGTTTTTGTGTCATTTTCATTACATTGTTGTAACACCCTTATTGATGATTTGCGTGTTCTGACACTTTTCGGGCTTGGATCCTCCATCACTTCCCCCGCATCTCCGAATGGTCTTGCGTACCGGCTTATACTGAGGATATGTTGCGTGCGTCTGCATTTGCCCCACTCAGAGGGAACCAGGCGATAGAGTCATTTAGAGTGTATCTTGACCGATTGGTTGCCGAGGACATGCACTTTAACAACTATGTCGATCACCGTGAGACGCGACCATTTAACGACATAATGTTATACTCAGGATGATTGGCTTGCAGATCGCGTCTCACTGCTCCTCATCTGCCTAAGTGCGTGATGCGGCAGTTCGGTTACACTCAGACCATTCCTAGACACCTTGTTGTCTCTGCTCCTCCTGCTATGACACGTAGAGAGATGAATGTCATGTTTGATGATTATCATAGTCATCTGGTACTTGAGGAGACACAAAGTACTATAATATAGAGTGATTAGAGTTATGTCGATGAGTACATCAGGTGGTTATTCGGGGTGTCATATCCGTATATGGTGCATGTTGCTCCATAAGATTTATCGAGGACAGTTCATCACGAGATATTAGAAGATGAGCATATACAATTAGATCATGCTAAAGATGTCTTGCCTAGATGTCGTCGCATTTTTAGTGTTATAATAAAAAAAAATCTTCTGAAATCCTTCCAACCAAAATCCTTCAATTTTTTAAACTCAATTCTTCTCTTTTTTTTTTCTTCAAAACCCTCCCCTCCTTTCCCCTAAAAACTCCCAAACAAACACTTAAAATATGTGTAGTAAGACAAAATAAAGAAGAGATTATTATTTTGAATTAATATCACAGGATTCAAAATTATAATGCTATTATTTTATATATTTTATTATAAAAATTTTATATAAATATTTAATACATTTTTGAAGTTATCTTTGATTATATATAATTTTTTGTGTGCATATGTTTATTAATATATTTCTTAATTAAAAATATTCTTTTATGTCATTTGTATTTATCGGCTAATGTGATTATTAATTTATCAAACACTCAAATTAATTTATTAACTATAAATTGTTAATCATCAATTATAAACCAGTAACTATTACCAACTATCAACTATTTTTATTATATAGAGCCTTAATAGCCGGTTTGTAATAGCCTTAGAGCTAGAGTGAAGTATAAACTACACAAGGAAATGAGTAAGGATTGTTCATTCACTTTAAGACATTTTAACATACTTTACATAACTGAAGTCCATTTTATTAAAAATATAATACTAACAACACATTTTAATATATTTGAACCTAAATGTACGTTTGTGACTCCAAATCAAACATTACCCTTAACCTATCGCATGATTATTTTAGTCTCACACATAATCATGTAATTTGAGACCAGTCTTAGAGACTAACAAACATTTTTAAAGATGAATTTGATGATTACCTAAAAGAGCAGCATGCTAGTTACTTATTATAGACTTGTAGCAGATACTCTATATGATAGCAACCTGTGAGTGAGTCCAATGTGTGACAAAAGCTTTGGCTTTTTGCTGTTTTTAATTGAAACAACTCCTTGGCATATTCTCAACCATACCACTAAATGTAACATTGCAATTCCACCCTGTTTTGCACTTGTTTGGTCTCTTTCATTGTCCTAGGAATGTGAACGGTTTTAGTTTGGATAGGCCTTAATAAATTAGGGTGCAAAAGGGTCACCTATTATTTTTTCTTTTCCACAAATTTCACCAAGTATCTTATGGTTTATCTTTTCTTACGAAAGAAAATCTAGTAGGTCTTTGTTGCAGGCCTAAAATTAATCTAGACTAGGTACTCGTCTTGCCTACATCATAACTAAAGTACTAGAAATGTCTTGCATCTCTGAATGGATTCATCCCATAATTGTCCTATGCAATTTACGGTAGATCCATATTTAAAATTCATTGTCTTCACTTATAAATATGCACATTGAATATCTTAAGCGTGAAATAAATTATAGGTGGTCTGATAGTAAAAACATAATAATAGACGGTCCAACGGGTCTTAAACCAGACTCTAATATCATCTTAAAAATTATAGTTTGATATAACTCAACCTTGCGAAACTGGATTGTAAAGTAAATATTATCTCCACTTATAAACACATGTGAGACTTTTAAATAGTGTTGCAATATTTAGTTGGATATTTAGAAGTAAGATTAGTGTAAAAAGTAAAAGGGAATTCTGAATGGTGTGGTCAGCAAAGTAGATTCTCATCCAATAGTACGACATGCAACATTAATGGTAGAGAGAGGGGGGAGGAAATGGACTGGGCGTGGGGTAAAGTGAAGTAATGGGGCTAAGATGTGCAGAGGAAAATGGCATTCATTGGGTTCAATGAAAGGTTTACTTAAATACTTAGAAAGAGAAAGTGCAAACACACCTTTTTCTTCTCAATTCTCATGCATACACATTACACATACATACACACTAGTACTATTACTAACAGGTTTGGATCCTAATCAGATTAGTTGCTATCCAATTTCACTTTTTTACTTGTGGTCTCTTCACATTATTTATGAGCAACTTTTTACACTTTGTGACTAAATAATACTCCATTCATGTTTATGTACTCATGTATAATCAATTTCACACTAGAAATGATGTTTTTGACAAATTAAGTAATGGTTACATATTTAGTTTGTGTCTAGTCACAATCAAGTGTTGATGGTCTAAATTTCAAGGTTGTGTCTGAATCAATCGACCATCGATATAGTTGACTACGTATGATCATAGAATTATGACTCCACAAAACCTATATATACGATAAAATTTGGATTTTGTTTGTAACATTGAGAATATGGTTTTAAATTGTAGTTGCGGCTGTGAATGTTGCGATTGCGGTTGCTGCGATGCATATGCTTGCTGTGGCGTAAATTTTGATTGAGAACAATTTCAAATACACCATTAAAAAATAAAAATTGAGTTTTGGATTCTAAATATTGAGTTTTTACAAATATACTTGAAAAAAAATTGATAAAGATGTCAAATGTGGTTTCTAATGTAGAAGAATGCGTGTTTCCATACACATCGAATGGTTCTGGAAACTACCACGTCAACAATATTGCAATCACAATTTCGGTTGATGACTGTAATTTAAAACCAAAATAAAATTTGTACAATTAGTTAGAGGTTGTCATAACATTACCAAAATTTTCAGAGTGGATGTCATTAAAAGCTGAAAATGTCTTGTACCTATGGAGCCTTGTCTTGTTGCAAAATTGTCCAGCAGAAAGTGACAGGAATATAACATCTCCATCACTCTGCAACCATAAAGAAAACAATTCCAACACATAGCCGGCCAGACGGCCAATCCAACAACAAATAACTATATGTTCAAAAGAATATTCCTTTACATAATAATAATGTGACAAACAACACAAATTAATAATGTCCAACATTCACATAAGATGGATAATTTGATGTTCATTTTAAATTAGTACATATCCATATATAATACAAGCATTCAATTGAAGAAATCTAACATAAGAACTATGAGTGACCAAAAAATTGTTCTAGTGACCGGCTGTGCTAAAGGCGGCATAGGCTACGAATATTGCAAAGCATTTTCTGAGAAAAAATGTCGCGTCATTGCTTCTGACATCTCAACACGAATGCAAGACATGTCAGATTTGGAGTCAGACGACAATATAGAGACACTTGAACTCGACGTGTCATCTGATCAAAGCGCTACTTCAACGGTGAACACTATTATATCAAAACACGGTCGTATTGATATTCTAATCAATAATGCCGGAATAGGTAGCACGGGTCCATTAGCCGAGTTACCGCTCGATACTATTCGAAAAGCATGGGAAATTAACACATTGGGACAACTAAGAATGGTGCAACAAGTTGTACCTCACATGGCTATGAAAAAAAGTGGAATCATAGTTAATGTTGGAAGTGTGGTTGGGAATATTTCAACACCATGGGCAGGGTCATATTGTGCTAGTAAAAGTGGTGTTCATGCAATGACAAATAGTTTGAGGTTAGAATTGAAGCCATTTGGGATCAATGTTGTGTTGGTTTTGCCTGGTTCAGTTAGATCCAATTTGGGAAAAGCTAATTTGGAGAAATTAAGTGATTATGATTGGAAGCTTTATAAGGATTTTAAGGAGGTTATTAGTGAAAGAGCTAGAGCTTCTCAAGGTGAAAAAGCAACAGATGGTAGAGTTTTTGCTAGACATGTTGTTAATAAAATTTTGGGTTCTAAACCACCTAAGCAAATTGTTTTTGGTCACATGACTGGTTTGTTTGCCTTACTTTCTTGGTCTCCTCTTTGGGTTAGAGACATGTTTTTTTCTTCACGTTTTGGGCTTAATAGAAAGGTTTGATTTGAGGATTTTTGTGATCATTTTCTTTATGATCAAACAAAATTCTTGTTTCAATGTTTACTGTTTTTTTGTTTGAGTCAAAGGAATAATTTTTATACTGTTTTGTATTGTGATATGAAAATATCATCTTGTTACTTTATACTAGCTACTTTGTTTTAGTAAGAAATGGGGTAAGATAGCATGATGCTGATTGTTATAATACCAATGTAGATTACACACGCCATTGTTTAGCCAAACAATTGATATACAACTACATGATTTATATGAACAATATCTTGCACAATAATTTTTTTAAAAATATATCCGACTCAATTCCATCGTTCACTAGCATGGGGTTTCAATTAGAGGTGGTAAAACGGTTTGACCTATTAAACATACCTGTTTTGTTTGTATTTTTTCGTAATACGAGTTAAGGTTTTATGTCCGCACTCTATAATATGTCTGTCTCATTATTTTGCCGCTTTTGCGGACGAAAACTTTAACATAAATTTTTACAATTTTTAAGTTAAAAATGTGCAGTTGTCCGCCTTATTCCATCCTATTTTTTAAAATGACTCAAGATTTTAAACAAGTGTTTTACACAATGTTTGTCCCATTCCAACTTTTTCTTTTTGTAAAACGAATTTAAATGAAGCAGGTATATCCATTTGCCACCATAGTTTTGAGCTGAAATGGAAATAAATTTTTGTATTAAAAATTGTTAACATCTAAAAGATTCTAAACTGAAAAAAAAAAGTCATACATCTCAAGCTATCAAACTAATTAAGTCACAAATCCATACTCCATTATTAATTTAGGAAAAGTGATGATTGTTCAATTGCCTTAGCTTTTAGATTTATGTAGACACAATCTTTAAACTTTAATTAATAAGGTAAAAGCTCTTTTGGTCCTGAAAAAAAGTAAGAAATATTCACTTATAAACCATATTAATGCCATGTTTCTAGTTAAAGTGAGTCATAAAATAGATTCTTCCCTATAAAAACCTAATATATGTTGCTAACAAATAATTGTATTAATTAGCTAGTCCAAGTCCAACATTGGTTAAAAGCCACAAAGAAGAATGAAAAGAAAGCAAATTTGACCAAGGCAGTGAATAGGAGATTCTTTATTTATCTTTCACAAAAATAGTTTAATTTTGGTGCAAAATAATTGGTCTCTAGTGGCTGTTGGGTGGATATAGTGATGATTACTACAATCAAAAAGAGAGTCTTTTTTCTATTTCCTAACATTCCATCTGGTCTGGTCCTGCAATGTATGTTTTCTTTCATAACTAAAAACTCCGTTTTAGATCTCTTTTCTCAAACAAAATCATGCACTCTAGAATTTCTGTCTCCACGAAATTGGTCATGCAAATATGCATGCAAACTAATGATTACAGTATATATTGATCAAATGGAATCTGCATAGTTAAAGTCTTTAGTTATATTTTCCAAATATTTAATTACTATGATTATCCTTTCATTTAATTTTAATATATATATATATATATATATATATATATATATATATATATATATATATATATATATATATATATATATATATATATATATATATATATATATATATATATATATATATATATATATATATATATATATATATATATATATATATATATATATATATATATATATATATATATATATATATATATATATATATATATATATATATATATATATATATATATATATATATATATATATATATATATATATATATATATATATATATATATATATATATATATATATATATATATATATATATATATATATATATATATATACACTACTACAAGAAACATTGCATTTTTTCAAATGATTTTCACGTCACTAATCTAAAAAACATTTCACTAAGCAACATTTGCGACGTGGGTAAAACACGTCGGAAACGCAATGCTGAAAATATTTTCTCACGTGAAAAACACGTCACTAAGTTGTGATATGGGACTCACGTTGCAAATAACAAAAATAATAGAAAACGTTCTCACGTGAATATCTCGTCATGTGAGAAACCACCTTTCCCAATATGTTTTCTGATACCAATTAAATTTTTTCCCAACTAAAAATATATTTTATATTAGTGACATGGGTTACACTTCACTATAAAATTTAATAATAAAAAAAAAGCTGAAAACAACGATAAAATTAAAATAAATATTAAATATTAATTATAAATATTAAATATTAACTATAAAATTTAAAAAATTAAAATAATTTTCTATTTCGATACCATCCTAATAAAATATGTTCACTAAAATCTATTTTAAATCTATTTCAACACAAATTTAAATCTATTTTTTTTCTAAAATAGTATAAATTATGTTTACTAAAATATACTACATATTCTCAAAATATAATATTCTAAAATATAATATATAATTTGTTTATTAAAAATAACACATTTAAAATATAATATATATTCATTGTTTTTAAAAATCTGTTTTTTTCTAAAATATTATATATTATGTTTACTAAAATTTAATAAGTATTCAATAATATAATATTCTATAATATATATAATTGGTTTATCAAAAATAACACATTTAAAATATATATATATATATATATATATATATATATATATATATATATATATATATATATATATATATATATATATATATATATATATATATATATATATATATATATATATATATATAATACATATTCATTATTTTTTAATAAAAATACTTTTTTAAAAAATAACACATTTTAAATATAATACATATTCATTATGTTTTTAAAAAAATACATTTTAATTTTTTATATTTACAATTTTGTTTACTAAAAATATTTTTAAAAATTTTACTTTTTCTAACATAATATATATTCTGTTTTTAAAAATTAAATACATATTTAAATACAACATTACATATTTTTCTAATATATATTATGTTTTTAATTCTAAAAATATATATTTTGTTTCTAATATAATACATCTTATAATATTTTTAATTTTAGCTTTCAACAACAACAACACAATACATACTTACATACACTAACAACAACAAATCTAAAATTTTATAATCAATAATCAAAATAACATTTCATATATTACTATGAATCTGAAAAATAAACAAATTTAAATGCGTAAATACCTCAATGGCGCAAATTCCCAAAGCGTCAATGAAAGAAATTCTTAATCTTAGATCTGGAAAAAAAATCAATAATTAATAATAAGAAAAAATTAAAATAAACTGCAAAACAAAAACAAAAACAAGATAAATATCATTCACCTTAAATTTTTTGTGAATGTTTCGTTCAAAAATGGAGGAGTAATGCAGGCAGAAGGAGAAGGAGGAAAGGAAAGAAAGAAGGAAAAGGAAAAAGAAATGAGATGCGTGAAAAAAATTATGAGTTTTGCATATATAACCACACTTGCGTCGTGGTGGACACATAGGAACGTACCTACGTGAAAACCACGTCGGAACCTATTACATGCTAGCTCATTTGCGACGTGATTTCAACATGGGAAAGTTGCCACGTGAACCACACGTCGGAACTTTCCAAGCATTAAATATTTTAACGTTGCATTACTAAATACCAAAGCAACGGTAAAAAAAATTTTTTAAAACATTTACGTATCCCATTTGCGACGTGGGAATCACATGGAAACCTGTCACATTCAATTTCAGCATTAATGTGTCTGAAAAGTAAAAGTAAAAGCTGACCACATTTACTGTTTACAAACTTGCGACGTGAATCACATGTGGGTACTTTGTGACATGCTCTGGGTACTTTGTGACATGCTCTGGGTACTTTGTGACATGCTCCCCACGTGGCAAATAAAAAGACTTTTTTTTTGAATTTTTAGTTCCCATGTGTTTAACATGCCACAACTTAATTTTTGAAAAATTCAAACTTCTCTCCCCCTTAAAATTCAAATATTTCGTTGCAAATTTTAGGTTTACATAATTTATTAATTAAATATGTTAGTGACGTGGTTTACACGTCGCAACGTATTTTTTTCCCATGTGGTTACCACGTCACTAAATCACTAGGTAAAATCAAAGTTTTCTTGTAGTGATATATATATATATATATATATATATATATATATATATATATATATATATATATATATATATATATATATATATATATATATATATATATATATATATATATATATATATATATATATATATATATATATATATATATATATATATATATATATATATATATATATATATATATATATATATATATATATATATATATATATATATATATATATATATATATATATATATATATATATATATATATTCATTAATTAAATTAAGAGTGATTAAGTGAGTTGGATACGACACCAAAGATGAATGAATATGAAAATGATCTATTTTAAAATAATGAGAACCATAATTAGTCATCATCTTATATATAAGTTATGGTCTCTAATATATAGTACATAAGTAAATAATTTGTTTTTTCACATCTAAAAAAGAAATTCAAAAAGACATTAAGAATATCCATTGAGGAAGAAACTCAATAATTTGTTGGTCATCTCAAAACCTTTGTATTTTAAGATTGTTGGAAAAAAACATTTCTTAATAGATCTAGATATTATTAAAGATCAAATTGTCGATCATTTAATTTTATAGATGTTTATATAATTATTAATTTGATTTCTACATTAAAGTATTTTGCTTTAATATGTTGAGCATGTATATATGACTCGTTATTGATTCAACAAATAGTATCACAATATGACATGTTTGATAGTTAAAAATATATATTTTCAATCATATTATGTGTATTGTTGATTGTTATATATTCACTCTGTCACAACTTATAAGTTATTTTGTCAAAAAAATTTGTCCTAAATTATAAGTCATTTTACCATTCTAATGCAATATTAATGACTTTTTCTCAACTTTTCTTCTTCCAATTGTTTAAATTTCTCTTTTATCTATAATAAATGAAGAACAATATTCTATAATTTCTCTTTTCCATACAACAATAATTATGTTTCTTAATTTGTAT